TATATATATATATATATTGCTTACGTTGGCTTTAAACATAAGAAAGGGCCGGTATCGACGCAAACGATGATCCAGTCTTGATATGTATAGGATACACTCGTAGCTGCCGAGCTTCAGTGCCGCGGGCCTAGGGGCTTGCTTTGCAACTGCGCAAAACATCTAAACATGTTGGAGTATCCTATTAACACATCAGGGGCGTCTTTGGGCATCTATGTCCAGGACTATAAGTCTAGAAGCAAGAACCCGGCACTGGTGTTCAGATCCATGCCGTTGTGTTTGGATTTGCAATAAGCTTTGTCGAGGGCGGCTGCACACATCCCAGCTGCACGTGCAAGGCGGGAGATCCTTGCAGAGCCAGCAAATAGCTCAAGTATCTCATGCTCTGGATTCTGGGAGAGTTCAGCAACCAGCGACAGATGGCCGAGCAAGATGATAATTTCGATGAATGCCTGCTCAGCCAGCACTCTACAGAACTTGCATTGAAGCGAGCTCGCACTAGCTCCCTAGCCCGACCCAGAAAAACAACAGCAAGCAGAAACACCTTCGGAGCACCCAACCATGCCAAGCGCTGAATCACAAGAGTATACTTTGAAGGCATCGATGCAGCAGCACTCGGCACACTGCTGGAGTTCATGGCTGGGCTACGGCTTTTGGAGACGAGGTTCGCCTATAGATGTCTGCCACAGCTCCATACAAGCCAACCATGCAGTTGCAAAACATGTGCATGCATAATACCATGAACTTTCGACTCAGTCTGCTCAGCCGGACTCACCACGAATGTTTCGCAACACCATCAGAGCTGTCTGAATATTTGTACATCGGAGCACTTGGGCGCACCTGTTTCCAGGAGGCCGAAGCGGGCTTGTTTCGCAAGTCCAGCGTGAAGTTGCGGCATCGGGGGGAGTACCTCCGGGAAGTTTGCGAGGATAGTCTTCCGTTGTTGTATGTGCAGAGGGCAACACGTACAAGTCGCATCGGAACAGAAGCCCAAGCAGTCTTCTGGAACCACGTGAGCGCACTGCTAAGTCGATGAAAGCACCAACCCCTTGCAAGACAAAACGTGTGTCATCCCGGCTTCAACTATGCCAGGCTCACAGACAACATCTGCAAAAGCTCCAGAGCTCAGCGGGCACAGGACGGTCTGGATTGCAACTTGCATGGTTCTATTGCATGCCCCCCCCCCCCCCTATGTAGAACGGAAAATGCTCCAGCATGTAGTCCTCTTTCACACACACACATGTGTATACATTTCCATACGCAATTTTGCTACATTAGCTAAAGTACAAGCTCATCTAGCTTGTGCATCCAGGCTAACCGCCCTCCTCCCGCATGACTCGGCGAGCCAACCCCTGGTGCAGACAGCCGCAGACTCACTTCTTAATCTTTATGGTCTTCAGGAAGTTAATGGCACACTCATCACACATGCGCTCGAGGTCTTCCTCTGCCGGGTTCTGCTTCAGTTTGTCCAGGCAGAACTTCCAGAAATCGTCCTGGGCGCTACGGGTTATATGTATGGATGAAATTGAAACTGTATGCAAACGAGCCAAATCAAACTGAATTAATTCGCACTCCTACCTCCAGGTAAGAAGGCTTGGGGATCTTTGTGGCGATCTGCTTGGCGAAAGCACTTTTAATGAATGTCCACTTCTTGATGCGGTACGGATCAACTTCTGGGCAACGCCTGCCCGCGAAAGTCTGCCTCTCAGAGCCACCCGACCACTTGCGCTTTTTGGGCTCCTCGGCCTCACCTGGCGAGGCTTTGTCGCCCTGCTTGGATTTCTTCGGCTTGCTCGAATCCGTGGGGCCCGTCGGGGCCTGTCTTTTCCCGGAAGCCTTCGGCTTCGAATCCTCATTCTTAACCGGCGTCATCGCCGCAGCATCTGCCGCCTCCGGAACGTCATCTGGCTTTGCTGCGTTCCCAGCTTTGGGTTTGGATTTGGTCTTGCCCTTTGGCCAACCCTTCTGCTTGGCCTCTGGAATGTCATCTGGCTTTGCTGCGTTCCCAGCTTTGGGTTTGGATTTGGCCTTGCCCTTTGGCCAACCCTTCTTCTTGGGCTCACTTGTGACTTTCGGCTGGGGCTTCTTAGCCGCTGGCTTTTTCATCGGCTTCGCGTCATCATCCTCTTCTTCGTCTTCGTCATCATCCGGTCCCGAAGCCTGCATGGCTTCTCGAGCCTCGAGCTGCTGCTCCCGACTCACATCTGTCATGTCATGGAAGAGGTCCTCGTGTTGGCCAGGGCTCTTGCTGCCATTGGCCCCAGAAAGGCTCCCATCTTCCTGAGCTGTTCCCTCATTGCCTGGCGTGGCCTGGCCTGAGACATCGGGCGGCATCTTGAGAGCCTCCTTCTCGGATTTCTCATTGGCCCCAGAAGGTCTCCCATCTTCCGGAGCTGGTTCCTCATTGCCTGGCGTGGCCTGGCCCGGGACATCGGGTGGCATCTTCAGAGCCTCCTCCTCAAGGCACACAGAAGAAACATCGGATCTCTCTGCAGGACTGACAGAGACAGCCTCATCGAATTGCTTCTCCAAGGACTTAGCGACCGGAGACAAGTCAACCGGTTGTGTATCCTCCAAGCTTGGGTTCAGGGCCATGTGTGGAGTCTTCTGCAACGGGCGAGGGCACTGTCTTGCGAGATTTCGTCTCGCGATCTCTTGCCTCACTGCAGACAATAAGCCGAGCAGTGCCGAAATGAAACACATGTAGACTGGACTTCCCAAAGAATGATTCTTCAAGCAAGTTACTTTAGCAGCAACAAGCGCGCGGCCTTCTTGCCATCATCCCCGTGCCCCAGAAACTGATTGCACTTGCGGCTGGTCTTAGCTTCATCTACGGGTGAATCTGATATCTCGACGACTTCCTTGCTATCACTGGCTACTGTAGCTTCGGGGGCACTCCGGCAGGAGTCAGGTGAGCACTTTGCCTCTTTCTCATCCAGCAATGCATGAACCAGCGCCTGCTCGCCAAGGGTATCACTTTCATCACCCGCCAGGTAGTCTTCACAAAGACCTTGGTAAACGTCCTCTTCTGCAACAATGTCCCCATTCCCATCTCCCTCCCCACCGTCTTCCTCAGCCTCAGCTTCTTCGGCGTGCTCGGCCGAAGCCCCTCGCTTCGCTTTTTGTTTCGGCTCCCAATGCTCCGAAATCTTCTTGTACAGGCTTGCAACTGCAGCAGCCTTAGTTTTACAGATGCAGCACCCATGTCTACCACTGCTTACATGTGCCACTATAACGGACAATTTCGCACAGAACCATAATCATGTGTGCGTGGGTATAATGGTATTAGTGCGTCTGCATGCCTTGTCTAGAAGGGTGGGTGTCTGCTGAGCAAGCTAACCTGTATGATGTTTTGACTTTGCACGAAAGCGCAGACTGAAGTCAGATAAACAAGCC